TGAACACAGCACAAGCCGTTGCGGCGTGTCCCCACCTCAGAACTTGTCATATGTGGGTACGTTTCTTTCAAACCCCCTGCGAGCGTCAGAGCCCTGCAGGCCTTGTGCAGGTCCCATTAATATATGAACAGATCAGTGGTTCGAAAGTTCTATTGGTGCAGGTAAAATGGGACGGACCTATTCGGTGCGACCGCATCAAGTTACTTTTCCCAGCCAAGTTTGAAAGGGCTTCATGACGTACAAGTTGTCAATTTCTTCGATTTGGTTGAAGTCTTCAAGTTGACCGTCACTGAACGACCGACTTGTGTTAACAATTTTTTGTAGCCTGGCGAAGTTTGAACTATTATAATATTGCCAGTCGAACTTTCTCGAAGTTCTATCTCTTCGCTACGAGGTTTGTCTTCTGCTAACAAAGCCGCCGAGAGCAAATATTGCCTCGCGCAATTACTGCCCTTTTCAGTGCTGCCAGGGCTCTTCGCATCCCTGACACCCTGACAACGCGCTTCAAGATGTCTCATTGTCTGCCCAACATTAGAAGTAGGTTTATCGCTCGGCGCCTGTAGATACTTGAAAATGGGCGTTTGTAGTGGAAGGACAGTATTCATTATTGATCTGATTCACCCACAGCATTACTTCGACTAATACCAGTCGTGGCATCTTTAGTTTGACCCTACAGTCTCTTTCCACGTAATCGTCGGAGGGATGACTTTGCGATGTTGTCGCACGAATGTTGTCTGCATATAAGACTGTGGTTCATTAATGCTAAGGAACAAGACTATTTCCCATTGTAGTTTCCTGTCAACAATGGACATGTTCGTTAACCGCTTGCAACAGTTCCTTGGTCTTGTACGTTTGTTGGCATTGTTTGGCGGTGGAGCCATCCATTCATCTCACTCTAACAGGGTGGCCGTGCACCAAGTGGCCAAGCATCTCCTGTTCAGCCTTCGGTCGATGATATTCTCGCAAGCCAGACCTCGATTGTCGACACTCCCGATAGAACTTCCGACGCAGAGGACACGTATGTTATTTCTTTGCCTCAGGACAGGACTTTGTAAACACCGAACAATAGTAGTGCTCTCTGTATCAAACCAAGTGATATTCACAAGACAACTAACTACCCAACCGCCTCGAATGGTCTCGGAGATGTTTACAAGTGCATATGGAGCCGCGGTGCAAGTTCGGATGAGGTATTTCATAGACTTGTTTATTCTGCATGTCCTGATTGTAACTTCAGGTCGCGGTCAAATCCCAACGATTCCCAATCCTGAGTGATCGTGAATATGTTAGAATCAACAAGGTATATTAACCTAAATCCAGTCTGACGGCCGCATGTCTAACTTTTGAGACGCAGGATCTTGACCGGGAGATCCTCATATGGGCCGTGCTGGAGCATCAATATGTATTGCCCTTGTATGGCACTGTAGAGGGATTCGGCCCATTTCGCGCATTAGTTTCTCCCTGGATGCTGAACGGGACTTTGAACTCTTACCTTAATCACGCACATGAGACCCTCTCGATGATGGATAGGCTTCGGCTGGTGAGTTTTATCTGCGAAGCCGAGTACAGGAATTCAGTACGTTTGCACAGCTTAAACAAATCACTGAGGGGCTCCAGTATCGTGAGTGACGGATTGACTATAAAGTGACTGATATAATTATGCTGTCTGCAGTCCACGATCGCGACGTGATACACGGTGACCTCACCAACGTAAGTCAATACATGTCGTGCAAGTGGAATCATCTTATGGTGATTGTAGAATAATGTTCTGGTTGCTGCCGATGGATCCCCTCGTCTTGCAGATTTCGGTATCTCCAATATCATGGTACAATCAAACCCTACATTTTCCTACCACACCGGTGCAATACGTTGGGTCGCTCCAGAGCTCCTTGATCTTCCGGAAGATCAACCCATACAATGCGCAACGAAATCCAGCGACATATACGCTCTCGGCGGTATCATGCTTCAGGTTCGTAGTCTGTCGTTGGCTTGCTAGTGACACTAATATCGCCCGCGTGCAGGTCCTATATGGGAAACAGCCTTACTGGTGGCTGAAGTCGCCATTACACGTTATTTCTGCTAAGTTCAACCAAGGAGAGCCTATCGACTCTTCCATCGAGATCCAACCTAATCACCTGAATTTCATGCGGCGGTGCTGGTCAACGGCAAGGGATGATCGTCCGTCAGTAGCAGAGGCAATAGATTACCTTCAAGAAGCACTGTCGAATGATACTTCGTCTGTATAAGGTCTTAGTTCTGACGCGATCCTCTTTCTCGTCTTTATGTTAACTCCGGTTGTGTCCTATTACTATATATCATGTTGCTCCACGTATACCCTCACTTCTCTGTGTCGTATGATACACTACCTGGATTCCTATTTATGTGGGAGCACTACTCATGTGCCGGCAGACTGCATGCAAGACCAGTTCTCATAGTACATGTAAACAAGGCAGTGAAGCACTGTGATGCTGTTCGGAGTGCACAGCATCCTGCATCAGGAAATCTACACATCACTTAATCACGACTTAATCCCAGTGAAAAGTCACGAGAGCACCTGGGTGACACCATTCATCTTACCAATTAGTAATAATCATCAGCAAACTACAAATTTCGTCACAGAAACAACATGTCAATACAAAGCCATACAAGTCCATAGATGGTACATGGGTACAGTACCACAGGTGTCACAAGGATCCACAGAATAACACAAGGACCACAAGGTGACAATGTAATTACAACATAAATAGAACTATGGTACTATACTTGAAGGTTGAAAATAAAAATTCCTCCATCTCAGTTACAGTGGCTCAAAAAACTGTCCGCATGTTTTGACATTTTTCACTATCTATGATATTGTGTGAGAACAAACAAATGGCTCAAGGACATGCTTATACCACATTGTAGTATGGCTTCAGGGCTTTCATTTGAGCCCTACACCGTGGGAATAAGTGGAGATATGGTGGAGATACAAGGCTCACAAAATGGTGACTCATGTGGACAGTTTTTTGAGCGCATATTAAAACTATATAAATCATCATTTATGACACCATAACAATCATGCCACCATTAAATAAATTATAAAGTGGTGTCATTATGTCATTTTAAAACCATATCTAACTATATAAACCAAAAATTTCCATATGTCATGGTTATATTCACCATGAAAGCCACCCCCCCTGCTCAAAGGGATAATATCCTCTCTCTTTCCTATTCTGGCCTCTCTGCTTGTCAAATTTCCTCTAGAACTGGAGTATCCAAGTCCACTGTGGCCAAGTTCATCAAAGAAAGTCACACAGACAAGGAAAACTTCTGTGAAGGGCATCCATCCAAGCTCACCTCTACTGATAGGAGGGCTATTATTCAACATATCACTACAGGAAAGGCTGATGATGCTGTCCAGGTCACCTATTACATCAATTCCACCATCACATTCCCTGTCTCTTCACACACTGTGAGAAACATTCTCAAGACAGCTCATCTCAGGTCAGTAACAAGGAAGAAAAGGCTCTCCTCTCTATCACACATATGCAGAAAGGACTAGCACCCTTCTTGTTTCACATATATACCTTGCCATCTGACCCAATCCTATTTATTGTGGTCTTATATGATCATATAACATGCTTCCAGTCCATATAATCCAATTCTGATGGGCTAAGGCAAAGGTTAGTCATCTCTGCATATGTGTGATAGAGAGGAGAGCCTTTTCTTCCTTGTTACTGACCTCATATAGGGATCAATCAGCAAACATAAGGGCTATGTATGAAGCATATGCAAAGTCTATTAGTAAGTAGGACAGATCACAAATAATGAACACCAGAAATGAAATGTATGTAATGGATTAATAATCAGAAGGGAAACATGGTTAACTGGAGTCTGGAGACAGGGGAAGTCTAAATGGGGTTGGGTGCTGATATAGGGTTTGGATTCCAGAAGGAAGATAAAGATAGATCAGATCATTTGAGATCCAGATCTCAGATCCGGATATCCGGAGAAGCAGATTTAGAGTTGAGAGTCCAGAATGGCATATGACAGTGTGCTCCATACCTCAGTAGGATTGACTCTGCTCCAGATTTACCCCTGAGCTCCAGACCTCTGGATCCTCACTGCTAGCCTAATTCGTACCACCCCATCCTGTCCACCCTATGTGCACTCCATCCAGCAAGACATCCAGACTTCACCTCGTCTCGGATTCAGGACTATATCCACCTCATCATATCCCAGTCCTGTATCCACCTCACCTTCTGGATCCTCAGATCTCCGGACCTCCAGATATCAACCATAACTATCTCTGGATGTATTCCTGCCCTCTGTCTGATATCCTGCGCCTATCCCCATTTAGACATCTCTGCCTTTCCAGCATTCGGTTACCTCTTCTTCCATTTTACTTATTGATTCTTGTACGAGTCTTCATCTCTGAGTTCATTTAGTTATGTTCCATCTTACTTACTAATGTGTTTCCACATGCTCGTACATAGCCTTGCTCCTTTGCTTACTGATCCCCTCAGATAGTCTCCAGTATATAACCCCAGTAGATACTCCTGTAGTTTCCTCAGTCTGAATATCATCTTAGTTTTACTCATTCCTGTCCTCCAGACTTGAGTATCTCTACTCTTGTCACCCTCTGAGACTTAGGATTGATTCCTATAGTCTATCTGTATCCGCCTCTGTCTTAGACAGTCCATTACTGTTAGTTTCTAGTCTGGACTTGCCTGGATTAGCCCTATGATACTTATCCTGCATCCAGAAGTCATCCAGATCTGCTACACTACTCATCCAATCTTCCAGATGTGTTAGTCTTGCCTTCCTGAAATAAGGGGCAATACTTGGGTAAGGGGCACAGTGCACGAGCTGAGGCTGAAGCCCTTAGGATCTGTTAACCCTTGAGTACGACCTTAACAGATACCAAATTTCTTCCATTCCATATGTAGGCATCTGATGTTGAGTTTTGCAGTCAACAAATGAGAATTTGTGGCCTGGATGCACTGATACCAGATGTCAAGAATCGCTGATTGGTGTGCAACAATGCAATCAGCCAGGTGCTTCTTGGCCTCACACACCTTTCATTTAGCCTTGGCAGCTGCAAGCACGAGATTGGAGTGCTCATCATCTGCTATTTCTCCATCCAATGGTAACAAGGCATAGTCACCTTGCTGTAGAATGTGACTCCTAATGACGGGTAAAAACAAGCAAGGTACTCACAAGGTGCAGCACTGTAGGGGGTTTCTTATCCTTGGTTGACAGTGCTTCACCAAAGTCAGACCAGTGCATTGATTGATTTGTGGTTTGAGGTTGGTGGCGTGACACATGTGAATGTCATCCAGGACTTGGAGAAGAGGATGTAGTACTCCAGAATGTTTAAAATGCTGAGTCGTGATTGTCTTGGGGATTATAGGCTGCATGTGCATGGGTCTGATAAGGCATAACAGTGAGGTGGATATCAACAAAGATTGTGTGAATCTTTACTCGATATCTTCTATGTCATCACCAACATGCCCAAAGTGTGGGAGAACATTTATGAAGGAGAGCAGCATCACTCAACACTTGAGCCAGCCTTGATCTTCATGTCATAGTCATATGCATGATATTGTTGATATTTTACAGTTCACAGAAGTGGTTCCTCCTTGGCATCATGCGCAGGCTGACTTAGAGTCACCTCATTGAGCATCTAACTCAGAACTCATGGATCATACCAACAGCATCCTGGAAGTACACGAAGATGATCACTCATATGCTAACATTGACAATGGATTTGGAGAGTCACTGGAGGAAGAGCATGATGGCGCAGGGGTCTGTTACTCTCAAGATGGCTCGATGTTTTTGAATTTATTCGATGCCAATGAATACACAGAATACAGGGTAGACAATCTCTACTATCCTTTCACATCCAAAGAAGAGTGAGAAGTTGCCGATTATCTGCTGCACTTGTCCCTCAGCATGGCAGTGATAGATGAATTTTTGAAGCTTTCAATGGTGTGCATTCTTTGTGTTCTCAGGCTAGAGCATTGGCACATCAGCCGCAACCTACACTTCTTGTTTTCAGGTCCAAAGATTGCACCTTTCATTCAACAATGCCAAAGAACTATGAAGCCATGCTGAAATGCTCCCTAGTGGACCAAGTTGGAAATGCCAGACTCTCTCCTCCATCCATCCTACCAAGTCTCCAATCTGACTCTTTTGGAGGGATCCTGTGGAATGCTTGGAGAGTGTTTTTAGCAATCTGCTGTTTCATGATAAGCTGGATTTTACCCCTCACCACATTTACAAAACAGCAGAGTGGCTTCTGAGTGTGTATTTGGAATGGTTAACAGGAGATTCTGCTTGGAAAATGCAGGTAAGTACTGATTCTACTGAATTTCACATCATCTCACCATATATTCTGCAGACACAACTTCCCAGAGGCACTATAGTTCTCGGTGTTGTTCTTTTGTCTGACAAAACCAACATCACCACCATGACTGGTGCCAGGGTCACCCACCCTCTTCTTCTAGGCCTCACCAATATCCACATGTGCACCTGCATGAAACTCTCATCTAAGGCTTTCCTACTCACCACTCTCCTCCCAATTCCAAAGTATCTATATCCCAATCAATGAATGCGGGGCATGCTTGAAGACTGTCTCATCCATGAATGCCTTTCAATCGTGTTAAAGCCATTGATGAAAGCTGCCAAAGTCGGGATTATGATGTCTGATCCAGTAGGAAATGTCTGCCATTGCTTTACCCCCCTTGCAGCATACATTGTTGACACCCAAGAGGTGGCTATGCTTACATGTGTGCATGGGAAGTCCTCTCCTTTCACCATGGCCTTGTATTTGCAGTTTGGGGATAGTTTTTGGCACCCTGCTCATATGCGCTCCATCACTCTTGGACAGATTGCTAGCATCACAGTCAATCCTGATGACCTGGAGGCTTATTTTGAAGCTTGTGCTGGCATGTGGCTGAACGGTGTGTACACACCATTCTGGATGGATTGGCCACTTGCTGATCCCTCCATCTTTCTCATGCCAGAACCATTGCACCATTGGCACAAAGAATTTTACAATCATGATCTTCAGTAGTGTATTATGGTCATTGGAGCACAGGAGCTGGATTTTTGGTTCTTGATATTACAGCTGACTACTGGCTATTGCCACTTCTCTGGTGGAATATCCAAGCTGAAGCAAGTTACGGGTAGAAGTCACCATGATATTTAGTGCTATATTGCTGGCCTAATATCTGGTGCAGCCCCTTGTTGATTTGTCATTGTGATCCATGTGCTTATGGATCTTTGTTACCAAGGTAACTGGTTCTTTTCAAACTACCTCAGCTAACATTCTTTTAGGCTGATACAAATCCCCTACCCCACCCCGCCAAAGACGACGACCCACAACCAGATATCCAATGCCATCATCCACACCTACACATGGCTGGCCCTGATGATAGGTTTGGATTCAAGCCATCTTCCACTGATACACAGGATTCCCTGGAGGCAACCCAGTCCATCGGTCACAGCTCCAAGAAAGGTGTAGGTGAATCCTTCAAACATGACATGAGGGAGGATAGAAGACTGCAAGATTTGGATGAAAGTAATGAGTTGGAGAATGATGCTGATGAGCAAGATCGCAATGGCCAACCCTGTGAAGATGAAGATGGTTTGTTGCATAACATGCAGGAGTAAGTCGTACCTTCCTTGTATCTTTTTCTCACATTCTACCCATCTACTCAAGGGCACTGGTTGACTGCAGGGCCTCTTATGATGATGAAGATGGTGATACTCACATGGATCTTGACCAGGGGGATTTTAACAGCTGAGTCTTGGATGACAATCCTACTTAGTGCGAAGCCACAGACACTTTTGATGTGCTTGAACACCATCAAATGAAGAATGGGCAACACAAAGCTCCCTCCCCAACTCATTTAGCAAACACACATGTAAGTTTTCATAGCACCATCTGAAAAAGTCACATTGACCCATGTGCAGCCAGAGCAGCCACCTGCATGCCTCTCTGTTCCTCATTCAAAGTCCCCTCAGCACTTACCTTGTTCTTCTGCCTTTCACAATCTGTCCCCTCGTCAGCACTCTCCAACTCAGTCTATGATTTCTTCCAGTCACAAACTGCCATCCTCTTGTAAACATTCTTTGTCACAGTCTCTGCACAGGCATTCTGCTCACCCAGATCCGACACCTTCTCCCTCTCAGACACCTTCCCCCCCTCCTAGTTCAAGCCAAGCTTCCTCTCATAGTGCCTCACCTGTTCAACACACCAAATCCCAACACAGTGAGTGCTGCACCACCCAACAAGGTAACCCCCCAAAGCTTAGCTTCTATGCAGTGTCTTGGCAAGCTTTCCTACAGCGAGCAAAGGTGGAAATGCAGTTGCAGGCAGTTTTATCATATCCTCTTCCAGTTCATCAGGATGCAGTGTTACTGGCACAAGAAGTTTTGGATGCTATATTGTGGACATACCACATGAGGAAGCTGAAGCTCAACAATGGTAAGTTGTCCAGCACCATCAGAAGTTGCTCCAATTTGATGTCCTCACAAAGGTTATTTTCCAGAGTATAAGATGCCAATGTCATGACTAGTAAGTACTGAGCTCAAATATGAACCTTGCTAATGAGCCAACAGCTCTGTGATGACCTATTCACATTTCATATGGAGCTCAAAAAAATTGTGATATCTATTGCAAAGTAATTGTACAGTATATTCTCGAAGGGCAACTCAATGCACAAGGAGTGTGTCAGTGCAGCAGTGGCTAAGCTCCTGAAGACTGGTGAATATCTTTGGCTCCTTGATTCTTCTGAGGTCAGTGACAATGTCATGATGTATGACATTTATTATTGACATTTGCAGGGAAAATATACCAACTTTGTGTCACAAGTCCTCAAGGATGCCTACCTCAATTTTTACTACAGCAATGGTAAAAAAGCACTCAAGTTAACTGATGATTTTCAACATCAAATTCCTGTCAATGGCCTTATTCTGGTGGCCATGGTTGTAGGCCTCAGTTCAATTAATCTTGATATTCATTGCTGATCAATGTTTAACAGACAAAGGGTGTTCTCTCCAGTGTGACGATCATACTGGCGCTAGGTGTGTATGATCAATAGCACAGTTCTTCTCACCTTCAGAAAAGGCGATAAAGCGTGAATCATTAAATCCATATATATCAACCCACCCGCTCTTACTCTGGTCTGGTCCTAGGAATCTGCCCTCCCATGTCCTATCCATGTCCACCTATCTCTGCTGGTGCATTATTTTTCCCAAATGTCATTGCTAAATGAGCTGCAGGTCTTATTACATGACTACTCATGTTCTGCAGCACATGATGTTTTATTACCTATAGACTCATCATGCACTCACTAACTACACTACAATTCTTGCCTATGCATTCTGGACATTCATGTGCTATGATATAAATGACCACAGTACATACAATTGAGTAGTTCCCTTTCCCCCGGACTCAGCTCTATAGGAGAGTAGTTCTCGTGTTATTTTTGTAGACCTTGCACAATCCATCTATTTTGCTCTTTCTTGACAATCCTGTGCAATTTGACCACTCTGAAGTTCCATACCACTAGGATCTTACCCTTAAAGCTCTTGCAAGAATACCTGACCCATGACCGGTAGTTTAGCGCTGTTCTTCACTCGTGCTATATCCCTTGCAACCGGCCACTCCATAGAGCATGGTTGATTTTATGCACATTACATCTGCCACACTGGCATCTGACATCCAATACATTCGCACATATCTTCTAATGGTTCATCTTGCTCCTGTGATATTAACATCAGTCAATTTTTGCCTGCGCTCACAGTTGATTCTTTGGTATAGAAATTCAGAGGTATACATACGGTCTGTGTTCAAGTTTCTTAGGCCAATATAGGTTATAACTCCTTCGCTCACTTACTTCCCTCGCACATAATTGAAGGAAGTGCTTCAATAGCAGTCCTCTTGGGCCAATCAATTAAACTCATGCCTCTTAGGATAAGTAGTGCCAGTTGCTAACTGCCTAGTACCTATTACTTCTTCACACTGGCTTCCATGACAGTGGTACTGACAAGGTGCCTGACCTTACTGCTGATGCATGCAGGGCCAACTTCAACACACTGCACAAGTCCATTGACAAATTGATGCCTATTCCCAAGTGTCATGTGGAGCTTGAAGAGATGCTGAGGGAGTGGGCTGAGGAGGGGATGATAGGTGAACATCACAATGACTTGGACAGCACAGGGGGCAGCAAGGATATCAACATCATCATTTAGTAGATTTTTCAAGCCATTGCAATGTTGTTTGTGCAGCATGCTTGGTCTGTCTACAATAATCTAGTCTGTCCACAATGTCAAGTTTGTTTATATTGTCTAGTGTGTCTACATTGTGTCTTTGTGTATGGATTGTACACCTTTGTGACAGAATTGTAAATAAGGGACTTGTCTGTGGAATTGTACTGTTTGTACACATCTGTACAAATCTGTACAAGGCCCCCCTAGTTTGCTGATGATACTGCATACCTGTACTTGTTACTAATTTGTAAAGAATATCTATCTACCATACTACCAGCAATAATATCAGCACTCAGGAGTCACTTGGGCAATTTCTACTACCATAGATGCTTGCTATAATGGGAAGACTCTATTGGGTAAGTCTGAGCTCATCATTGCTGCCTTGGCTGATCCCTAACCTGCCTAAAATAGCCTTTGGTGCTGTCAATTCCCACCACTACATTTCTCATAAGCTTTTGCTTATCGTCAATGATGATGAGCTTGTTCCTTTGCCTCTCCTACCTTTAATTTTTATCTGTTTTTCAGCAGGACTTGTGTAGTGGGTGGCCACTGGCCTAATTAATGTATTCAGCACCTCTCATATACCATTTGACTGGTCAGCATCATGCTACTCAACAATACCCACAGTGAGCTCATTCTTTCTATTCTCCTACCCTCAATTTTTACCTGTTTTTCAATGGGACTCATGCAGTATATAGCTACTGGTCTATCCAATACATGTGGCACATCTCCTCCACCATTAGACTGGTTGTCATTGTGCTACTCAACAATACCCATGGTGAACTCACTTTCCTGTGTCTCCTGCCCTCATTTTTGGCCTGACTCTAGGTAATCCTTTTAAATCATGTAGGGGATACCCTATTGAGTGCATCTGCTGTCCCATTGTTGGACCTATCATCAATGCACCACACCCATCTTATCTGTCAAATGATGGATGACTTGGAATCAAAGTATGACATCAAACACTTTCCCTTCAACATTGTTGACAAGGGTGGTTAACCCACTATTTCAATGGGTTACAAGGGTGACACTCGCCAATTTGTGAGTTATCAAGATCCCTATGAATGTGTTGTGCTCAGTCCTTGTAGTGAGTTCCTTTCCTAACCTATGTTGCCCTTGCTACTCACCTGTTTGTCACCTATTTTAGATGTTTCTTTTGTGGTTGAGGAGCTTCTCATTGTTATAGTCAACAAGGTATGTACAATGTTCTCTAGTACTATAACTATGTTGACCCAGACTGCTGCTAAAGTGGTGCCGGAAGTCCTTGGGGTTCCCCAGGACATTATGTTTGTTTATTGATAGCATCACTGATGTATAGCTCCCATGCTCAAGCTTCAACATTGTCAACATGGGTTGCAAGCATTCTAAGCTCTCAGCTGTAGGCAAAGTCAAGGAGGCCATCATGCAATCTACTGGTGATCTCAGAACTCTGCACACTAACCTTGCAAAGTTACAAGCTGATCACATAGTGTTTGAGAGAGAGCAGGTCCAGAGCCAGCTAGGTTGGTCTTTTCTATTCTTTGACTATTTTATTATTTCACTGACCCATCAGACAGAAGCCAACATTGCTGCAAGGCAGCTCCTTGCTGAAGCTGCACTCAAGGTAGGCATCACAAATGATGTGAGCACTGATGCTCAGTATCTGGACCACTCTCACCTGATGTTGGTGGATGGATATATCATTATGGGCTATAGCCCTAAAACTAGGATACATCACTCAGCTCAGCTATCTATTGATGTGATACATCTCTGTAGGCTAATTGTCCATGCATTTTCCTGGCAGTGCTGCCATTTGAAAGCCAGAGCATTTATTACTTTGATGGTTGATGCCCAGGCTGCAAATATCCGAGTTGAGAATCTGAGATCCAAGGTTGATTGAAGACATCACTACATATGAAGGTACAGAAGCTTATCTAGATCTTCATGTGGAGGTTCATCAATAGAAGGTCCGCTGGCCTTCTGAAGCATCATCCAAACCTGCACTTACTAGAGCTCCCACATCCCTTCACATTCCCAAAAACTTTGCAGACAAGTTATGACAGATGGCAGCCTGGTGTTTTGCATATGCAATCAGACCTTCCACATCTTCTGATTGATCTACCATCTGAAGGGTTGCTCACTCATCCCACCATTTGGCTTCCCATGCGAGAAACACCAACACATGCTGCATCTCAAACAGCAATAATTGTATTTCTTCTTGCCACTGGGTATGTTGAGCTCTTGCTTTACACCATTTAACACATAGTGCTGAATCCATAGCAGAGTGAGTCCATTTTTGAATGACAGCATGGTTACTTACTGTCTTGTAGCCCTTTACCATTATTGTTACAGTTACGTCTACCCCTATTCATTTTTCTCTTATCCTCTTGTATTACGTCATGACCGTGCCTTATCGTGCCATCACTAGACTTTACTATAGTTGTATTACATCACGATCACCATTGCCATCGCTAGATGACTCTTCCCTATGACTCACCTTATCTATGACTCGCCGATGATGTATACGTACCTGCCCTAAAGTACTTACATCTATATATACTTGGTCATGTACTTAGCAGATCTTCACTTTAATCTACTAGGTTCTCACCTGAAACATTGTTCGCTTAGGACCCCCAATCCTAAGTCATCCACATACCGATATTCGAGTCAAAGACACTCTCTTTGACTTGTCTTAAGAAACCTTACATTTGTGAGGCCTTGACTCAACCTCAGACACTACTCTTATCGAGTATCTGCTGTTGTGCCCATCCTAGTTTGTAACAATTATGCAAAGAGAGTCCATGAGTAAGCCAGATCCATGGCATGATTGCTGTGCCCAGACTCTGTCCCCCAAGGCCACCTATTGGTCTAAGGTTGGATTTTTTTAGTGGTCATAGGTCCTGATCCCACCTGACACAATCAATGTGCCTTGACAGGCTGACCAATGCACTACATGCACACAGATACTTATCATGGCTGAGGATCAGCCAATCATTGACAGTTTGTATAGTCTTCCACACCTGGGTGTTGGCACTTTGGCCATGCAGCTGCTGGCTTTTAAAATGTAAGAGCTGATGGTGAAGGCAGATATGAGAATGGCACTCCTCAAGAGCATCATTGGCCTGTGAAAAATGCAATGACCACTCTATGCAAAGGAGTCTTGGACTACAGGGTATGAAGTTGCAGATATCAGAAAGAAATAGTAGCTGAAAGTCCTTAGGTTTGGCAGAATTGGGCCTCAGCCTCAAACACCCACTCTCTTCATCATCACTAAGCCAAGTACCACTGAGGGGATTCACAAGGCCAATAGTATTAGTAGTGTGGAGTTGAGATACAAATGGGATGTATAAGTTTTGAATCTTGGTCCATGCTTCAATGCAATGCTGGAGACTATTGCTGCATGCCAGGATCTTTGTTTGTTGTCCATTCATTGCATGTTAACTTAAGCTCTCATTGTCTGCATGAAGCTGCTGTCTAGAAACAAAGTTAGTTTCATGTCACTTAAATTCACTGGTCACCTACTGTGCATGCTTGAGATCTAGGCCAGTGCTAATGAGAATGCTTGGTGTCACATCAGAATAAAGTGAAACTGAAGATCCATCCTCTAAATCTTGTGTCTTTCATTACTAACTCCAGATGAACAGTCACCTGTGTTATGGCTGAGGTTTCAATGAGACTACAAACAAGTTGATGAAAGCTGAAAAAAATCACCTGTGACCCTGCTCTCAAATGGATTTGGCTTAGAGTGGTCTGGCTCCCATGCTAAGACTTCATTCATCCAATTTGTGAGAGAGATAGTGCCAAGGTCTGATTCCTTGATGGACTCTTCCAACTCTGTAAGGGCATGACAGTGTTCTGTTTTGGCTTTGACAGCTTCCTTGATTTTACACAGTAAGACATGACCTTAAAAAACACACTGTAGTTATTTTATATCAATGATGTAACTGTTGTAAAGACATACCAAATGTAGCTACCTTTTTCCAGTTCCAATCTCCAAAATGATCGTCAAGGACTTCTCGATGACTACCAGGCCCCATTTCCTTCATACTTGCAGCGATATGGTTGATATCTGCCCATCCATGCTCTGGTACTTCCCTGTCTGTTTGGCTGACTCCCGGGGTCCAGTTGAAGGAGAAAGTGATCTGGCATGATGCAATATGAGCTGCAATATGGAACTTTGGCACAAATAAGTTGAAAGCCATGTGCATGCGATTTGGTTGGAGTTGCACAGGAAGGGCTGAAACACGCTGCCATAGTCTTTTGTGCCACTGACAGGTGACATCATAGGAAAAGTTGACTATAGGTGTGGATGCAAAAGCAGACAGGGCCAAAAATACAATGTAGTCCATGTTCATATATCTGATGGAGGCATGAGTACAGTACCTGTAGTAATACATTGTTAAATTACTCACTTTTCTCCTTTTTGCAAATCTCCAACTCCATTTGCCAGCCACATGTCATACCATGCACAAACCACTGAGCCTACACCAGTTGCTGCAAGCCCTTTGGAAAACTTTGTATTTGCCATGTTGATGGCATTGTGACTAACACATGTGCTCTTCTAAAGCATGTGTTAGTATACAATAATATAGGTTTAGTTACAATAATGTACCTCTTGTGTGACATCCATGTGATTGTGAAGGTATGCTTTGTACCGTCCTTCTTCCACAAAATATCCCCATCCATAACTGAGCCCAGGATCCTTGATATCATTTGATATGAAACGATGTTTGAGGTGAAAATTGGCATCAATCACCAAGAATAATGAGTAAAGCCATATATGTACAGTGGCTCAAAAAAGTGTCTCAATGTTTGTGACTTTTTGTGTAATTGCTGTATTATGAGCTAGGGTGTGAGAGTATGACTAAGCCATAGGGAGGTGTGGGAAAGCTCTGCTTCTAGGCTTTATGTTTGATCCCTCTAGCATGAGAAAATTATGGCATCAAGTGAAGATATGGTTAATTTAATTTGGTGACTCATTGAGACACTTTTTTGACTTTCAGTGTGACCAACACAATCTCTATAATTATGATACTTGGTGTTTCCTCCTGTTGCTCTAATTACTTCTGCCACTCTTCTATGCATACTATCTATCAATTTGAGGCATTCCTCATCAACAATCTTGCCCCACTCTGCTGCAACTCTCTTTCACAGCTGAAATAGCCCCTATTGTTATTATCATTAGCTTTTCTAATCTGTATACCAGGCAGATTGCTACTAAAACTGGTCTGAGTAGGGTTGCTATCATTAGGATCATAAAAAAGTCATTCCAGACAAGAAAAATATCAAATTGGATTGTCCTTTCAAGCTTACATCATATAACAAAAAATCTCTTGTTCATAATATTCCAACTAGGCAGGCTGCCAATGCTACTCAAGCCACCAAATTCATTAATTACATCATCTACACTGCTCTCCACTCAAATCATCAGGGGTACTCTTAAGGCAGCCAATCTTAAAGCTGTAAACAGGCAGAAAAGCCTTTCCTGTCTTCAGCCTATATAGGAAGAAGATTAGTCTTTGCTTTAAAGCCTCAATATTGGACTGTTGAGGACTGAAATAGGGCTACCTAGTCACATGAGACAAAAATCAATAGGATGGGGCCAGATGGCTAGGAATATATATAATGAAATGCCTTCTAACAAGACAATGACCCTAAGCATACTTCAAGTTGACCATAAAATGGTTTGAAAACTATGGTATCAGTGTTCTATCATGGCAAGTCCAGTCCTCAGACCTCAACCCTATTAAACAACCCTGGTAATTACTCAAGATATCACTTGCAGTCTATCAAGATCCTCAATAGGGGTTATTTCAGGTGTGGGAGAGAGTTGCAGCAGAGTGGGGCAAGATTGTTGATGAGGAATGCCTCAAATTGATAGATAGTATGCATAGAAGAGTGGCAGAAGTAATTAGAGCAACAGGAGGAAACACCAAGTATCATAATTATAGAGATTGTGTTGGTCACACTGAAAGTCAAAAAAGTGTCTCAATGAGTCACCAAATTAAATTAACCATATCTTCACTTGATGCCATAATTTTCTCATGCTAGAGGGATCAAACATAAAGCCTAGAAGCAGAGCTTTCCCACACCTCCCTATGGCTTAGTCATACTCTCACACCCTAGCTCATAATACAGCAATTACACAAGAAGTCACAAACATTGAGACACTTTTTTGAGCCACTGTATAACTAGTAATTTGATGATTTGATGAGTAAACAGAGGAAAACACACCATTTGTTTGGGCTGACATTTGCTAGATTCTCAGGCACATTTTTGCTGAGCTGTGGACATGCAGGGCAAAGGACTGCAAGTTGTCCTTCTTGCATTGTGTCAATTCCTGCAGGGTCATGACCATGACCTGATCATTTCAGTGATGTGAGATTTCACCACTGTCTCATGATCCTTAAAAAGGTAGAGTAATGATCCTGGTGGATAAATTAGTCAGTAACAGGTTCCATGCTCACTGAAGTAAGAAATGAGTCTCACCTTGATTGGCTGAATGCCTGTGTTGTCACTTTGATGCACAAGGCAATGGTTAAATTCATAAGCAGAGACTTTGGACTCAAAGGAAAGGAGGTAAAAATGTTTGAGGACTGCAAATGTTGCTGCAGTATTCAGATCTGTTGAAGTTGCTGGAAACAAGCAACAACATAGAAGTTGTCTGTAGTGGGATGGTGCATTTGTGCAGTCACAGAAGTCAAGCACAACCTCATGTATTCCATGTACATTGATTACAACAAAATCATCTTCTTGGGCAGGTTTGGGATTGCAGCAGGGCTGGTTGGTGTGATCTCCTAATTGGATGTGCAAGCCAAGGTGTTTTAAAGTTGTAGAGTGAAAATATCCATCCTGCCATTGCTGAAACAGTGTTGTTAGAGGAAGGTTCACTTGATATTTGAAATGCTAACCTTGACTTGATGAAGTGGTACAGTCTGAGGGAGTTTGATGATGCACAAATGACAAAATAAATCCACCAAAAAACAATCTTCACAGTGATATGGTGCATTTAAGTTTCCACAAGCATAGCATGAGTGGTTAGCCCTCCCACGCCCTTCTAATTGAATCAGTTCATCTAGATAATGCAGTCATTCTGGAATCCAGATGCACATCAGATCATCCTATCATGGGAAAAAAGGTGATGCAGAAGTCAGTTTTACTTGAAAGAAAAAAATATAAGAAGTTCTGCTCACTTTACTTCTCTGCTTTCATTTTTCAGTCAGAACATCATGAGGTTCAGTATCAAGAGAAATATGAGTCTCATTCCAGGGATCACTCTCGCAGCAGTCAGCACTAATATCACAGACAGTCTCTGAAACATCATCTGCAGGTAGGACAGCCTCGAGATATTTTGTCTGCAGGTTGATTTGTCCAGGTTGAATTGTGAATATTTGGTGGCAATGGACATAATTCTGAGAAGATTGTCTGGTAGAACTTAGGACAGGATGGTGAACAAGTCAAGGCCTCTTGCTGGGACAGCCACTTGCTCCAGCCATGATTGTGAGCAGAATACAAGAATAGTCACATGGCACACAGCACAGCATTGTCATTATGACATAATAAACTTCAACTAAGCTGACTTTAAGTTGAATTTGTGTACTACTGGCTCAATGAGATAGGACTGATGCAAACTTACTAGTATCAGGTGGGAAAACCAAAGACATAGCAGTGATTTGTATGAAAATGAATTGTTGTAAGCACTTGTGAATTGGAACAGTTGAGTAAGGAGTTTTGGTTGGACCAAGAGTATAGCCTCTTAGTATGGCCTGTGCCAGTACCATTTTTGATCGTTGTACAACCATTACAATTTATGAACACAATACACATACTACCCATGCAAAACAAACCTTGTATCTAACTGTACCACAAGTTCAGGAGGCCCACCCAGTAGTTCCTGCATACATTTTACTATATGGCTCACTCAGAGACACATCAATATATTTATTATGGTTGGACTGGCACAAACTACGAGTGTGAGTGATGAACACCTGAGCTTCTTTCAGCTCTGCTTCTTTTGAACTTTTTCTGAACCTACACCACTACAATTTTCAACCTAATCCTCTCCAACAACTATCAATGATGGTTCATCCAACTATTCATAACACAGTTCAAAAAAGAATGGAAGCTGCATGAGAAAAGCACAGACACTATTATGCTAAGTATCTCATAATTTTATTAATTGTTCCTGACCCTTATGTCTGACGCTTATTTGTAAAGACATAGGGATGCAATTTTACACCAGTGGAGGATGCTGGGTGTAAGAAAATGTGACAAGGAAGCAGAGGCATTGGGAAAAGATATCTCGAGAGCTGTGGGAAAAGCATTGCATGGCCATGACAATGATAATGAGTCTGAATCAGACACCAATAGTTCCAGTGACAATGACGGAATTGACATAGCACTGTAAGTTCCATTCTGTTTTAAAAATAGAAATGTGTATTAAAACAAGAAATTAAACATTTAACAGACCTGATCTGCCAGCATGCTTACACACTATCAAAATCACCAAGGATGAGATGCTCACATTCATTGGTGATGACCCCTGCAAGTTCACCAAGAACAAGTTGGCTGAATACATCAAGAGCATCCCAGAAGATTGCAGTGCTAAGGGTGATATTTCTATCATTGTGGACTCAATTGGTGAGATTAAAAAGATACTCAAGCATGTGATGCCTGTGCAAAATGAAATCTTGAATTTTTGTGGTCTATCACCTGAGTGACATGCCACTGACACAGTCTCTTGATTCTTAAAGACTACAGTTGCATACCTGGAGGACATTCAGTGTCTTGAAATGTCTGGAGGAATTGCGGAGCTCACAACAGCACAGTGGTTGGGGGAGCTAATGTATTAGAAGGGTATCAGGATTTGAGTAGTACATAATTCATGATACCTACATCAAGCCAAAATACAAGCTTGCGAGCTTCTTCCAGTGAAGAAAAGTGCATTCAGGGGCCCATGCGTGAGATGTTTGAGAGCTGAGCAGGAACTCTTATCAATTCAATTTGTGCTACATAAGTATACCACCATCCCACGATCATGAGGCAATGTATGTGAATTTGTCCAAAATGACACTCATTGCATAACAATTAATGTAGATGGCACCCCCAAAATGGAGTACTCCTGAACAAGACAAATGGCTGGGACCTTGGTATGAAAAGCATGGTGCAAAGCAATCAGACAGAACCAAAAATTGGCCAAATTTCTTTACTGACTTGTTATGAGAATGGCTTGATGTATTCCCTGAGCCATGACTGGCAGTACTGCCACCCATTGGCCCACTGACCAAGGATGAGCTCATTATCATGGATCAGGCTGAAACTGAACAAAAAAGGTGCATTGTCACCACAAAATGTCCTGTTGAAATGGTCATATTAATGGAGGCTCACAGAAATTAGAGAACTGTTTCAAGAATAGTCTTAGGACTATGAAGACAGGACAGCAAGTGAAGGCGGAGGCTGTGAACATCTTCAATGCAGTGCTAACAAGTGTCACCAAATGTGAAAAGCTGATGTGTTCCCTTCAGGAAGTTGAGGCATATTCCAAACTTTACTACCAGAGGCATGTAAAGTCCATGGTTGACAATGAACTAAAGGCAGAAGCTGAGGTACTGCAAACAAAGAATGAGGCACTTACCAATGGAATGCATGTAGCCATTGTCAACAAGGAGACAGGGAACTTATATGAAGCAGAGACTGATAAGGTTAAGGCAGAGGTATGGAGGTACATCGAAGATGCAAAGATGCACAGAGACAATGAGAAGGAGGTTATGTGGAGCAAAGACGATTATGGGAGGTAATGATTCAAAAATTCTAATGTGTCAATAAGTTGACATAACTCTATAGAAATATAGAAAACTTGCTGCTATGGTCAACAAATTCTTGATGGGACTTGCAGATGCAACAGGCTTTTCATTCTCCCTCCTTGTGGGTGGTCCTTCTCCAGAGCTTTGTGGATTGATTGATGTCTATAGGTAAGTTATCTATGCTCATCTGCAGCATTTAGTACTCACCTCAGGTATGAAGTTTTCACATATGTAAAATGAAATATGGGAATGACTTTAGTAAGGCATATTTGGAATTTGAAAGCACCATTATGTCTCCTTTCAGAGACTATCTGCACCAAGTATATTATGAATTAACATATTTACTGATAGAATCCAACTCAATTCACAAATCTATCAATAGCAGAGGCCACAGCAGCTTTGAAGGCAAGGCTAGGGGATGGTGGTCGTTTGACATTGATTGGTATAGGGTTACCTGATGACACATCTGATCAAGTGATATTCTCACTTTCAGATATATTGTCCCATGCAGACAAAGTCACAGATATCAATTTTGAGGGCTTGACTGACATGAGTTGGCCAGTAGACAACTCATTCTGGGAGGGACATAGTACCCAAATCAATGCATTTGAGGCATCAGGTGGGAATCTGGACCTGCCATACTTACCTCCCTACTCACAAGCAGCATCTGCCTTGGAGTCGCTGTCACCCCCCATAACTCTACCTCCTGTCTTCAAGCCACTGCCACTGCCAGTACCTCAGGCTGCTTGTTCATCCCAGTCTTACCCTGCAAATATGTTTGCTAAAGTTTCAGCACTGCTTCCAAACATATCTTAGCCTGTGCCTACCATGGTACCACTACAAAGCTCACCCATAACATCTCCTACACAAATCCTGGTCCTATCCCTGGATCCTCTACCCATCTTAGCTCCACAGGATTCACTTACACTTGCTCCAGCTGTTCCTTCATCTGCTACATTAGTTTCATCCCCATCTGCCATAACTGATCAGCAAGGTCAGCCTCCCACACTCACCAAGTCTTCCCTTCTGCACAGAACCAGCTGAGTCTGTGTTCCATTCTCACACAATGTTGTCACTAACAGTATTGGCAAGAATTGTTCAATTTCTGGCAAGCATCATGGAGGGACAGTTGAAGATGGTGTCTTAGGTCACAAGAAGAGGTGCATTGTTTGTCTTCTGTAAATTCAGTAAATCAAATGACCAACAGGAAACAAAAGTTTAAAGTTTCAAAGCTCTGCATATGTCATTATCCCATACCTATCTTTGCATATAGTTAAATTGTTGCTGTTTATATTTGTTGTCTTGATAATAAATCTATAAGTTTTGACATTTTGACTGTACTTGTGTGAATTTTTGACTTAGAAATGCGAGAACATGACATCATGTGACAATGGCTTGACTGTACTTGTGTGAATTTTTGACTTGGAAATGTGGGAACATGTCATCACATGATGACAGGTTGACTTAAATTACATGTGACACAAGTCAGTGTGGAGGAGTCAATCAGGAGTTTTGCTAAGACATCTGTGAAGGATTTTATTAACTTACAAGACTGTTGATTTACACTTAACTAGAACAATTGGAGCCTGGATAACTTAGATCTTGCGAAAGTCACTTGGTAAAAACTTGCTAATGTGAGTACCATAGCTTAAAGTTAGAAAATGAACTACCAAGAATACAAACATCATGTGATGACAGGTTAGATTTACGATCAGTTCTTTGGAAGTCAAGATCTATCTCACCCAGATCAAATCAATCAAGAGCAACAAAGGGGGCTGGGAACCAAGGCTAGCCGGAGGGGGGGCTGAAAGTATCTATTTTGGTATCTGACCCCTCCCAACAAGCCCTGGAAAGTTCCAAGAATCAAATTTGTGGATTCACCATGGATATATCAAAGGATACATCCATCTGGATAATGGACAACCTACCTAGATGATGTATCCTAGTTTTAGGTTTATAGTCCAGTTTGGATGTATCATTCTGGCAGTATAACCTCCCACCCTGACATTGACTTCAATATGGGTGAAGATGAAGACTATGTAGCCAAGGAGGATGGGCCACAGGAGGAGGAAGATGAGAGTGTCTTGGAAGGAAATACCATGGGCAGATACAAAGGCTCAGCAGTTGATGCTGCACAAGCTTGCATTGTATATTTGTAAGCTTTCTTTTTCATGGTTTTTACAAATAATGGTTTGTGTAGTTTACAAGGTAGATATCACCACCACTGGCCACCATGCAGTTGACTCCAACACAACCATCATTGTCACAGTGCATGGATGTCTCAAATGCCAGCCCTCATTGCAGGCTACTTGTGCTGGAAGCACTGTGAAGCTACACTGACACTGACACCTGATATTGAAGTTGGAACATTTACATTCCATGTCAGCACAGTTGATATTCTAGGTACATTTTTTTGTGCCTAACATCCAAGTGCCACTCATAAATTACAGTGTCCATGTCTTCAATATCAGTCCCACAAGCTGCTGACAAATTGGCAAATGTGTCACTCATTAACATTGGACTCCTCAGGTGTTCTCCCATTCAGCCTACAATAGCTGTTTTGCTTCAATGTCTTGAGTTATATCATCAAATCCATCAATGCAAACCATCCTTCAGTATACAGGCAATGTTACAGTCACGTCTACTCCTATTCATTTTCCCTCTTCTCTTGTGTATTATGTCATGACCATGCCTCATTGCGCCATCACTAGACTAGTCTCTTGCTATATCTGTATTACATCACAATCGCCGTTGCCGTCGCTAGATGACTCACTCTTATCTCTGACTCATTCTTATCTATGACTCGTTCTTATCTCTGACTCATCACACTTGCCCTAAAGCACTTACTTACTATATATACTCAGCCATGTACTCAGTAGATCTTCACTTTAATCTACTAGGTTCTCACCTGAAACATCCTTCACTTAGGACCTCCAATCCTAAGTTGTCTGATTACCGATATTCAAGCCAGAGACACTCTCTTTGACTTGTCTTATGACCCTTGCATTTGCAAGGTCTTGATTCAACGTCAGACATTACTCTTATTGAGTACCTGTCATTGCGCCTATCCTAGTTCGTAACAAAAGATTAAAGTCACCTATCGACCCTCTCCATCAGAAGAGGTCCCAGATCCCAGAATGAATCAGAGAGAGACAAACACATCCCCTGAACAGAAACATCACTAGACCAGAACAATCAGGATGTCCACCGTCACCAATACCCCAGAACTGAAAGCCAGAGCTCCTTCCACTTATGATGGAAGCCCTCAGCAGGCTCTGCAATGGTTGTATGCAATTAAGGCGTACTTCACACTTAACACTACAATCTATAACACCAACAAAAAGAAAGTTATCACCGCCCTCGCATATATGACTGAAGACAGCACCATGGGCTGGGCACTTACCTTCTATACTGAAGTCGATAACACCTCCTCCAAGTCTTATGGAACTTTTGTGAACTTTGAAACAAAGTTCAAAGAAGCCTTCGTACCAGCTGATGCCATTGGCACTGCCATGAACAAACTCCGAACCCTGAAGCAAACAGGCGATCTTACCTCCTATGTCGCCAGCTTTAAGACCCTTGCTGTGCAGGCCTCCGTAAAGCAAGATGCAGTCCTAATCACATTTTTCAACGACGGGTTAAAGAAGGGGATTGTTAATTCCATTTTCCAGATGGAAACCATTCCCACAGATTTCGATAAGTACGTTGCCGCAGCCATTAGGCTTGACAGCAACTACCAGAGAGGTGCTGCATTTCAACAGAACCACCATACCACCACTAGACCGACTGGGCAACATTATGTACCTAGACCATCCATTGATTGGCACGACCCAAATGCCATGGAGGTAGATCGGCTCACGGAAGCTGAAAGAAGTGACCATATGAAGAAAGGACTATGCTTCACATGTCACCAGAAGGGACACATGACTAGAGCATGTCCGCAGAAGAAGAAGACTCCTGTCTGTCATGAAGAAATAGAGGACAGCGAAGATGGAGATACAACGATCCGTTGCCTTGCCGAGGATTTTTGATATGGAAGACTGGATCGACATCAGTATCTTCCAATGTACCTATCAGATTTGTACAAAGTATTGGAATCAGAAAGGAACTTCGCGTTCCCATTTCCCTCATCTCCAAAACTCGTCTGAAAACCGTCGAAACAACAGCCATTGTTGACTCTGGTGCTGCCGGAACCTTTATCTCAGAAGACTTCGTAAAAAGTCACAGAATCAGGATGCATAAGCTCACGAAACCATTTCGAGTCACGACCACAGATGGAAGCTATGCTAAAGGAGGCGCTATCACTTGCTATTGCGTCCTCATCATGAAAATCGACGAACGATCCATGATTGGAAAATTCAACATCACATGACTCGGCTGCCAAGATCAGATTTTACTCGGGATTCCCTGGCTACGCACTATGGATCCAGTAATACAATGGAAAGCAGAAATGCTGGAACTCTCAAGAACTGAGAAGAGTGATCAGATTGAGAAAGAAGTTGATATCAAATGAGAAAAGAACGGATTACCACCATTCTTCCGGAAACTCCGGAAGAATGATCCAGAACAAGAACTGATTCCAGTTGCTGCATCACCCAAGAAACCAACACCCCGAGCTACCATTGAAGAAATTCCAGATGAAGAAACACCCCCGGTACTCCCTAACCTTGATCCCATCCCTGATGACAATGATGACTCCTTTGATACCAAAGATGATGTATGGACCAAGGATTATGCGCCACCCATGCACGAGATCACTACATACCACCTCGAGGACGATGAATTTCTAGTTGAGTACCCCCTCGACACCTTGGAGCTTTGGGTTATCACCAATGTCTCTCTGGATACTCCCCTAACCAAAGACAGCACTAGTGCTGTAGAACAGCAACCCATGGTTACACCCCTGTCACAGCCAACGGAATATATCAAAACCAGTAACAAAGCACAACAATTTGCATTAGCTGCCAGACTAGAACAAAAGAAGAAATCGTTCGAAGAACTCGTTCCTTCTTATCTTCATGATTTCGCCAATATCTTTGCAAAGGACGGTCTCAATCAGTTACCACCTGAACAACCTGGTATAGATCATTGAATTGAAACTAAACCCGGCTTTATCCCCAAGATGTCCAAGGTGTACCCATTATTGGAAGTGGAGCGCACAGCGGTCAGAGCCTTTATTGATGAAAATGTAAAGAAAGGATTCATCTCCAAGTCAAAGTCACCGCAAGCAAGCGGCTTCTTCTTCATAGGAAAGAAAAGTGGAGATCTTCATCCCTGTCAAGATCACCGGTACATCAATGAATGGACGGTTAAGAATGCCTACCCTCTCCCATTACCACTTTCATTGGTCGCTCGGTTACACGGTGCTAAATACTTCACGAAGATGGATGTCCGTTCAGGGTATAACAATATCCACATCCACCCAGATGATCAGTGGAAAGCTGCCTTCACCACAGAGTATGGTCTCTTCGAGCCAAACGTCATGTTCTTTGGCCTTTGCAATTCCCCCGCTACCTTCCAGGCATATATGAATAGAACGTTCCAGCAGGAGATTAATGAAGGATGGCTCATCATATATATGGATGATATCCTGATCTTTTCAAATGACCTCATTTTCCATCGCGAACGCACCCGATGTGTTCTCGAAAGAATTCGCCAAGAGAAACTTTTCTTAAAACCTGAGAAATGCACATTTGATGCTCAGGAAGTGGAATATCTTGGAATGATCATCCGTCCAGGATGTGTAGCAATGGACGATGCCAAAACCAACGGTATTCGAGACTGGCCTACCCCCACAATGGTGAAAGAAACTTGGT